TCAATATCCTAATGTATAAATGTTCGATCACAGTAGTTTAGCAAGCTCTATAACGTGAGATCTATTACTTTTTTTTTAAATTTATTTCGGTTATTACTTCTCCTTTTTTCCATTGTTTATTCTTTGCCATTCGCACATATGAGAAGTCGATTTCGTTTAAGAGCTGGGCTAGTTATTTACCAGCACTTCTTGTCTCGTTTCAATACGCGAGAATTAAACACTGAATAGTGTTATACAGCGCTAATGGAAACGGAGTGTACAGCGTGTAGGTTTTCACTACGTTAAGGTATCATTTCTGTTTTTTTGCAATGCGATTTAGCGTCAAAGTTACGATACCTTTACTGTAAAGTGGTCGGTGACCCCAACACAGTTCCTCCCTCCCTCCCTCCCGCCCCCCCTACCCGCCCACCCACGCGTTACATTTCGGCCCATGACATTTATTTTTGTCGTTCTCATTTTCTTTGTTCCATTCTCATTTCGATTTTTCATTTATATCGCTTACTGACTGTAGCTCTAATAACGCATATTAATTCCCCCAAGAGCCTGACGATGACCATAACACGTTAACGACAACGATGTTGATGAGAAGAGGCCGTGGTTTCACCCACCCACCCTGTCCACCCATTATTCTGTTTCCCGCCCAACCCCTTTCGGCCTGCCCCTTAAAGCGGCCTTCTGAAAGAGACATAATTAATTCACATTAACATACTTTCGAAGCTAATCGTAAATCTATCATTTTTTTTTAACGGCGTACGTATATAAAATTGGAAAATGGTATATAAAATTTAGAATTCAATACGCTTGATACAAATGATTTTTAAAAACTTGAAGAGATTGAAGATTTTTTATAAATAAATTTAGGAAAAATTTCAAAGCTAACTTACCATATTTAGACGGGGCTGCTCAGACGCCATACATATTATGGAGTCGTTCACTGAGCTGTGGTGGGAATTGATCTGAAAATCGTTTCCAATTTTCCGCACCAACTTGATTTTTAAATCCATGTAATATCTACATTCACAGAAATAGTTTTTGTATTATCATTAATTGGAATAATCATAATATAGCTAATGTTATTCTAATTTACCTTCTGGAACATGCCTTTAAGATCTTCTCTAGGCGTTACCCAAGATGCAACAGCGTCGCAAAAGAAGATAAAATCTTGCACAACTCCTGCTGGATTTACAGTGATCATTTGACACATACCTCTGAATGCTGAATCCTTTTCCTCATTATCTCTTATGCTTCTCAAAGAAGTACACCTAATAAAGTACATGTACAAATTATAAAACGAATGATGCTAATAATTTAAGAAGGTATATTCATCATAATTGAAAATTATATTATAGATTATATTAATATTTTTTTTATATTAATTCATTTGGATAAATTTATTATTTATTCAAATTATTATTGTATGCAGTGATAAATTTACCTTCTTTCTAATTTGAATATTTACATTGAATAGATATCATATTAGAATATGATTATGGTAAAATATTATAACTAATCACTTGACATAATATTCATTCCCACAAGTTATATAAGTTATACATGAATAAATTTTCGTAGAATAATTAGTGTGGCAGAATTGTTGGTTTTTTGAAACCAGTTCTATATTGTAATCTCCTAACAAACATTACCTTTTCGTATCTTCATTTTTCAATTTGCTGGTATTAAAAATTAACAATTAAAAATCCAAACTGAAATAAAAATAAAAACTTTATCTAATCTAATATATATGATAGTTCCTGCATCGGACTTTTTGTAATCTTGTATTTCTTTGTAAATATTTAAAAACCTAATCTAATAGAAATTTTTTTAACGTTATGATTAATTATTATTATTTATATTTTGATATGACTGGCATCATATTAATACAATTTTATTATTAAGGCGTGGTTTACATTTGGCATTATCTTTTTAATTTTGAACATTTGGATATTGCAAAGTAAAGAAATATATTAGCAATAGTTGTGATAGCAAGAATATAACTAAAATGTATTTGAAAATGTTGATATTGAATTAATTAACATGCAAAAGGACATTTTTGATTGAAACTACCTGTACACAGTGAAAAGTATATGTAAGAAAAAAAAGATATATGTTTCTATTTAAATGCAAGGCGATAATACATAGACTAAAATATTACACAGACCTAAAAACGTGACAAATGTAAACCTACCCTAGTTTCAAACTGCAATAATTAAGAGCCTATAACATACTTGCATGGTGGCAGAAAACCAAGGTAAATATACAAAGTAAATATAAAAATTATTAATACTGCAAAAAACCATTGGGCAAGTTAAATATTATACTTAAGATAAATTAATAGGCCCCTATTAATCAAGAAAACATATAATATTCGTTTTATAATATAAAAATAAAATCTTTCATAAAAATTCTTGCACAAAAGTTCTTAGCAGCCCCTGATGCAATGTTACCAAAGAATCGGGAATAATATTTAATAAAATGCTAATAAAAATAGAAGATAATATAATTAATAGAATATAATAATAAAGAAATTTACACACCACTGTCGGACAAACTGCTGTAACATGGGGGCGACGTCGTGGGGACACACATAACCTAGGCGACCGATCGTTATGGCTACGGTTTCATTTCATTTCGGTAAGTAGACAAGTGAAGTGTAGTGAAGTGACCGGAAACACAAACAATAAGACAAACTGATAGCGAACCAACGATCAACTCAGGCGAATATTTTGTCGTTTATAAATTTCAATTAATTTGTAATTAATCATTTAATCAATAATAATCAATTTAATATTAACAATCTATAGAGACAGTGGGAACAAAGGTGAACATATGAAATACCGACAATGAACATAGGCAATCGTGCTATTGTAGCTGCTGAAACAATAATAAAAATTAGATAGCAGCGTGCGAGCCCATGATTTGAAAAAATCGATATGAATATGATCTCTACCAATAAATGTCAATATAAATAAGAATAACCAAGAAACATAAAAATAAAACTTTTTCTCGTGAGTTGAAAGCCAATTTAAAATACCGTCGAAATAATATTTGGGGCTTAGATGCAAGCATAATATATATTGAATTGCAGTATACTTCTCATGGCAATACAGCCATATAAAGCCTGCAGGCAATCGCACACCACTAAGTGAGATCCAATGTACAAATACTAATAATGTAACCCGCTCATAAAACGTGCAAATATGGTCGTATAGAACGATCCAAAGTCGTCAGTTTGTGTGGTTATTACCTTCAATAAAATCATTTACAAAAAATGCACCTAAACTTAAATGCCACCGAATGCTGAATCTAATGTGGGGAATTTTCTTTGTATATTTGGGAGACTTCTCATTAAATCGTCGTCGTTATCAAATATCCTAATTGCGTGAAAAGGTTTATACAATATTTGTAATATATAAATTATATGAAACTACAATGCCTTAAATGAAAAGTTTCCCCTTATGTGCAGAGCATACTTCTAAGAAAAGGTATTACTTCTACTAAATATAAGTGAACAGTAATAATATAGTTATATTATTATAGTATTTAAAAAAAAATAAAAAAGAGATTTTTACTATGCATTATCCTCTACCATTTAAAAGTATGCTCCATATACAATACTGTGTAGAAGAAACTATATATTCGAAAATATTCTACACAGTACTCACCTGTATTTTCTAGCAGTGTTTTTGGCGTATTTGGTCTATTGATTATGTCGATGAGTTGTGTCAGAATTAGTGGAATATATGCACTTGTATCAGACCCTACAAATGAACAGAAAGATATATACATATTAAATAATTTCACTTAAATTTTATCATATATTTTAACAGATCATGATTTTAAAATAATTTACCGAGTTTTATAGCTATTTCACCAATAGCCCATGTTGCATTATTACATACAGATATAAACTCAGGATTTAAATTTTGTCCAAGTATAGGCATAAATTCCGCTATAAATAAAATCAACAAATAAACATTTTGAATTTATATAAATGCATTTAATATTAATATATAATCACAATAATAACAAAAATACTCACGTATACAAGGGAGAACATGTTGGAAGCAGGCTTTTGTAAGATCTCCTAATAAAGCAAAACTGCTCTGTCTAACTTCAGGCATAACATCTTGCATACACTGATATAATAATTGCATAACATTGCTATTCATTACTAAACGTTCCATATGACCATCCAAGCCTTCTGCCAAACCACTAAGGAGGTCTAATGCAACAATCATAAAATCTTTGTCAGGAGCTTCAAATTGTTCTGGGCTTTGTGTATTGGCTATATGTTGATTTAATGTCTGCTCTACAAGAGATACACATCGTCTAAAAAAGAAAAAATAAAAAATAAATAAAATAAAATAAAATAAATATTTTGATATTATATTACAAAAATAAATTTTTTAAATTATATTACCTATATACGGGTTCACAATAAGGAAGGAAACCAGATCGTAAAGCAGTTGCAACTGAGGAAAGACATTCTAATAATGGAAAGAGATCTTTATCTTCGTCTTTTAATACATTCCATTTATTAATAAGTGGTGGCATAAGAAGGTTAATATAATCTGGTTTGTTAAGATGATGTCCTACTGAATCAGCAAGTGTACCAATTGCATCGTACAATATTAAAAGATTTTTATGTTGATATTTTCCTATATATACAAAAATGATTAGTACAAAAATAATATGTAATTCAATTTAATATTTCTATAAATATATATTTACCAAAAGCAAAAACAAGTGTCTCAAGAATAAATCCAAGATAAGGGACTAATTCTGTGCATGCTTCCTCTTCTAATGTTGCAAAAGCAGAACATGCGGCTTCCTGAACGCGCTTATTGCCATCAAGTACTCTTTTGAGTAATTCTGTCATCAAAGGTTTCAAATGTGTGTCATGAGGTTGCGCACAAACCCAATGTGCGTATCGACTTAATGTCCAGCAAGTAATAGCGCGTACTAGTGCTTTTTTATCACTTAAGCAACTAATTAAATATGGAATTAATTCTGATAAATGTGGAATCATTCCACTCATACAACCTACGATATTATATATTAATTTACAATTTAAATCTAAAATAAAATAATGCATAAAATATTGTCATCAATAATTGACAAAAAAAGAACCTTCTGCTATAGCTCCCAATGCTAATATTCCAGATTCTTTTATTTCCCAATCTTGGTGGAAAAGTGTTTCTTTTAAAATTGGTACTAAAACTGGTAATAATTCTTCTCTAAATACGTTTGCTAACATATCTAAAGCAGCAGCAGAACATTTCCTTAAATTCCAATCACTAAGCGTTGAATCATCATCACATCCATCTTCAGCATCTGTATCATCTTCATCACAACCTCCGTTTTCGTTTGTGTGCTTATTCATATTAGCGTGATGTGTATGATGTGTTTTTGATTTTGGAAATCTTGGTCTAATATCTTCTTCTCTATCTGGGATCATTTCATCTTCTTCTACATCTCCTTTTAGAAGTATTATATCAATTTCCGAATATTTCATGCCTCTTACCTATTAAAATATTATGAAATTGAATTATTTATTGTAATATTTGTTTGAAAATTGATTTCATTTTGATTATGATTACCTACCAATATAGGTACTAAACGGGGTAAATGTGGTGCAAGTGCTTCTTTACAAATTGGCTGCTCAGCTAATGAAAGCCAAAATTCACAGGCTTCTAAAGCAACTCCTTCATCAAGATCTTGAGTCCTCATTAACATATATTCTATTATGTTATGCATATGTGGTATTAATCTATCCATTCGTACTTCAAGCAACATTACCAAAGCTCTTTAAAAAAAAATCATAATTTTATATTATATAAAATATCTTATATAATCTATCAAAACAGAAATGATATAATCATACCTGCAAACATGTTTTCTAACATCAGAATCATCATCATTAGCTAAATGGAAGAGATTCTCCAAAAAACTATCTATATGAATCATTAAAGCCTGTGTACGATTAACAATAAACTGATTAACACAGGCAATAGCATGTGATCTAATTTTAGGGCTTGAATGTCTAAAAAATTGCAGGAACTTTGGAATTAAAACATTTAATGGTCGATTGAGTGCATCAGAGTCCAATATTTCTGAAGAATCTTCACAAATCTTTTGAAGAGCACCAAAGGCACCTTCACACACATTATAATCTTGTGAATCTAACATTTGACAAAGTGCAGGTAATAATTCTGGCCATCTAGTCAATTCACCTATAAAAAATAATATTTAATTATAATTAAATAATCATAAATAGTATAATAAAAAATTATTTAATAATTATTATTGTTAATTACCTTTGGATGCAATAGTAGTTATTAAAATACCAACAGTTGCACGAATTAGAGGTGATGGATCTCCAACTGCTGATAAGCATTCTTGCTTGATGAAATTTGTAACCTCTGGTAAAAATTTATAAAAATGAGCTTTAACGTTATTTTTCAAAATCAATCCACTTAGAGACCTTGTTGGTTCATCTTAAAAGAAAAAAAATAATTAACAATATTTTTAAAAATATAAATTAATAAGTTCTATAATAAATTAATGAATTAATTAATTAATAAATACATTAAATTACATACCTTCTGATGTGAGTTTTGTTAAAACAAAAATAAGGTAATTGTTAAAGTCAGGAAATTTGTTTAATTCTTCCAATTTCTAAGAAATATTGATAAGGAAAAATTGCAATAAAAAATATATATTAAAATATTATAATCTTTTAATTTTCAAAAAGAAAATAATGCATATTTATATAATTACTAATTATATATATTTTTTAGCATTATATATGCATTTATAATAAATGCAAAATATTGTATTTGTATTTTGTAAATTTATGCAAAAATATAAAATATATTTCTCATCATATATATGAATAAATTTATATAAAATGTTTTGAATCATCAAAACTTCTTCAAACTTACTACAAATAATATATATATATTATGTATACAGTACAAACAGTATGGGAATATGCAAAAAAAAATTCAAGTTTCTGTAACTGTAATTTTCTAATAGCTATAATTCGCACAAAATATAGTCTATCAACATCCATTTGTGTATGTCATTTCCAGCCTGTTTAATTAATATTATGGACGAAACTATATACAAGATTTATCGATTACAGCGTCAAGAAAACAAACTCGTCACCGACAGTAACGGCATTTCCGACGCGCCCCGCGACAGAGATCATGTATCGTTAACATATTTCTTGGCGCTTAAGCATAACTCACGTGTTATTCGAGAAAAACCTACAAACTTCTGTCGACCTACTATTATTACTTTAAATATTAATCATAAAATCATTTTGTAAAAAATAATGTGAATAATTATAAAATGGGTTATATGATTATACAGAATCACATTTGTTACAATACGGTGTCTCAACGACTTTTCAATCGAACTACAGATGACAAAAAAGGGGATTCGTGACAGGCTGCGCAAAAGCGCGCCGAACATTTTTCCATCTTATATCTAATAAAATATTTCGATAGCTTTTATATTTATTGAGACTCTTTGTTGTATCTTTTTCGTTAAATTTTCGAACTTATTTAAAAGAAGCCTTATTTTTAATGAGGTGGAAAGCACGCCCCTTGATTGACCTATCCGCTTTACTTCGTTACCGCGTCGCGGGTGTACTCACCGGGAACAAAAATCTTTCAAATGAACTTTTTCATAGCACTGAACGATTTATGATCGTATAAGAAAGGATACTTCTTGAACGGCTCGCTGCGTAGCCGTATCCGGGCTCTGAGACTCCTTGAGGAGCGTCAAGATTTGTCGAAGTCCTTCCTCTTGCGGTTGCCACGCCATTTTCATCGTGTTTTTCAACAGCACCACTGAACGCAGCCAGCCTTCTCTGACCTCGCAGATAAACGGAAGCTCCCCACGGTTACCCCCACCATCACGCCACGAAAGCATTAAGATACCGGCGTACGACACTAGGATTCTTTAGTTAAATTTCGCTAGGTCGTGCTGTCGGATCTGCGATTAATTGTTCAAAACAATTAGATGAATATTTAACATCGTTTCATAACGATATTCCATTTTTATGTAATTCATGCAGATAGACAATTGAACGTTTTCGATGCTTAGCAGACGAGCATTTCCGGCGACAGCAGTGACATCGATTGGCCTGCTATTTGGATTTATAAGTTTAGATAATGTTTTCAAATATAACATTATTTTATCGTTATATATAATGTTTCCTATTATCTTTTGAAAATATTTAAACTATTAATGATATGTGATACGTATTAATTTTTAAAATAAATTTTAAATTAAATAACTGACAAACAAATTTTTCTTCGGGGCTTTTGATTCGACAATTACACTCCTGTTTAGCGGCTAAATTTTAAATGTCGAAAGAAATGTTATTTATGATGAAGCATTTTTAATGATTTTTTTATACTTAATTGATCATTCGTTGATATTTTTTATACTTTATTATTATTTATGATTTATTTTTTCGAATAAATGATTAAAAAACAAAATAAATATTTGTGAAAAAATTATAGTAAAATATTTATTAAATTACATATATTTTTATTATTTATTCATTTATTAAAATTTAAGATGTATACAATATATAAAAGCGAAATGCTTATAGAACTCATTAGTTATTAACATTTTTATGCACATTGTATTCGTGATCTTGGTCTCCAAATTTCAATTCCCTCTGTACCAGAAACAGCAAGAACATTATTTAAATAATCTGTCTGTAATTTAAAAAAATTGAATTTATTATTATAATTGCATAATTATTAATAATTACATAATTAAAATTCATAAAAATATTTCATATGCTACTTCAGGTCACTTACACTAGCAATTTCACCATAATTAGATTTTAAAGTAGTAAGATGTTGTGGAGGATCAGTAGGACTGGAAATTCTAACTGTTTTGTCCATAGAACTTGTGAATAAACATCCTGGTGCAATATGGACGCCATTAATACCTTTTTTGTGTTCAGTAGTGTAACATTTAACTGGTTCGAAATTTTTTTTTGGATCAAGTACATGTAATTTTGCACTACCATCTCCCACATAAACGATATCCTGTTCCATACTCATACTCATAGGAAATGATTCCTGAGAAATCTAAAATATAATATTAAAATAAAATTATTAAAATTTTAGTTTTTAATAAAAATTTTTATTATAACATCCTTACTGTGATATTTTTCATAGTTCTTCCTGCTCTTTGATCCCATATAGATACTGTTCTATCTTCACTAGCAGATAAAATAAAGTGAGAACTCATAGCCACTTTAATGACTGCTCTTTTATGTGGTTGATATTTTACAATAGGATTATAATTTAATCTCGGATCAAACACAAAAATAGTTTTACAATATGATCCTGTCGCAAAGAGTGCTAAATCTTGGCAAGATGTAATACACAATAAAGCACTTCGTGTAAGCCTAAAAAATTGTTAATGCTTTCATATAATTGTAACTTATCAGAATAATACATAGCTAATTTTGGCAGAGCGAGTGAAAGCAAAGATTTCTTGTTTAATTATTCTTTTCGAAAAAATTACAAAAAATTATATTTGCTATTTAATATTCTTTTTGTTGAATATAATTCATTGCTTAAATTATTTAAGAATGAATAAAAAAATGTTCGTGCCTTCCTCGCTCGGCCTTCCCATAACGAGAACAGCGAAAATAACCAGCTCATGTACATCTTATAAGTTTTGAAATGAATGAGACCAGTGCTAGTAAGTGTCCATGCTTTAACGTTATGATCCCAACTACAACTATAGACTGTATTATCTATTGCTGCTAGATCCCAAATCCATCCATTATGAGCAGAATTTATGCATGTGTGACTCTCTCTTTCATTTTCTTTTGTAGAAAGTTTCCAACATACCAAAGATCGATCTCTAGCTCCTGATATGCAAATATTTCCTTCCTATTTGATTTATATGATATTAATATGAATATTATTGTAAATATAAACTTATAAAAGTATGAAATAAAACATTATTTAAAATATTATACTAGCCTGCATTAATAATAAGCCATCAATAGTACTATATTGCACATTACTAAGTGATAACTTTTCCATACAATCTTCTTTTCTCCATAATGATATTTGTTTTTCCAATGCAACACATGATAATTTCCAAAATAATTCATCATCCTTAGCTTAAAAATAAGAATAATATATTATTATAAATAAAGAAAATAAATATATATAATTTTTAGCAAATAATATTGATATGTAAGAATACATTTTAAATAAAAAATATAATATTAAATTAAATTAATTGCAGTTTTTAATAAATTACATATTTTCTTTGTTAATTGAAATATTATTATTTATGAATCATTCATTTCTTATGATATATAGTATATGAAAATTAATTTTAAAATTAATGTTTTTATAATGAAATATATGAAATATAACTAGTTATTGGATACAGTAATAGGTGGTGTTTTATTTATTTACAGAATGATTGGTCGTGCAAGGCGCAAGATGCTATCAATTTGAGCTAACCAGGAGGCAAGACTGGATAACCAGTATCTGGCCAAATTTGACTAATCCTCGCTTTCCACAATGAATTGTCATTTAAAATTTGATAAAATTGTTTACACACTAAACTCAAATTATGTACTAATGTAGATGCATCTAAGAAGGAACAAATGTGAAGAAATATCTGAAATATAATAATAAAAATTTTTATTAATTTTATATATTATAATAATAAAAAATTTTAATTATTATATGGAAAAAATATAATATGTAATGAAAAAATATTTCAATATAATATTTTTCATTTGTATAAATAACTTTTCATTTAAAAGCACAAAACCAAAATTAAATTTTAAAATACAGATACTACTGTGCGAAATAGAGATTTAAAAATGGCGTTTACGTGCTACTGACGTTTCGTTAAAGTTCTCGCAATATTCCATTTATTCTCAAAGAATATATGTTACAGCTTGCTTACTAATCGAATTCAATTTTTACTTTAAAAATCATTTTTACAATATTACGTATAATATCGTCATTATAATTTATATTAATAAAAATTCTCTTATTGTTTGTAAACAATAACATAGCATTTGTAATTTGTCTTAATAATTAAAAAAGTTCATTGAAATAATAATAGATAATAAATATTATCTGAAGTTTTGAATTTTTTAAAATTGTTTAAAAGTTCATTTACATATATGCATAAATGCATATACATATATTTTTTTATTTCTCTATCAAAGATATATACGTATATAAAAATTTAATAAAAATTTATTTATACAAACCTCGATTGGAAGATCCAATAAAGATAACTGGAATTCCGTTTGATTAGATTTAATTTGAGTGAAATGCTGTTCTTCATCACACATTTTAGTCTAATAAGGCCAATATTAAACGTTATATTTTTAAATAATATCATTCGATCGACTTAAATATCTTGATAATTTAGCACTCAATAAGAAGAAATAAATGCAAAAATTGTTTTTTTATTTAACTTTATTATTTACCGTTTTGGTTCTTATATAGCTTTGTACGAGGACTCATGAGTCATTTACCACCTCCGTTTTAGTAAATTTCACAATCTTCCAAGACAGGGCTGACAACGTGTAATAAGTTTAAATAATATTTTTATTTTATTCATTTTATTATACTTGCAAATTTGTATAAATCACTTTATAAAATTTCATTACATCTATAATTGTACACATTTTATAATAAACAAAAGAATCTTTTATAATTAATTATATAATATAATATTAAAACTTAATTTTGTGGCGATTATTAAATTTTAGAATACAACTTAAATATTCGCAATAAAAGAATATGTTCTCAAAATATTCCAACAAATTCATAGAATAATAATTTTTATATATTATAAACAATTGATGTTATGATACATAAATGTGATTTTTCCTTATTAGAATATAATTCGAAATTAATTGAATATACATAATAATCTTAAGTACAGTATTGGAAGGCAGTACTTATGATAACAATGGATAAAATATATATATTTTACATATAATTTTTATAACCTTCATGATTTCTATAATTGTTTTATATTATTTATTTGTCCATATCTGTTCATTCATTAAGCATGTTCATGCAAACATATGTACAATTATAAAAATATTTTTGTAGATACAAATTTATATCTTATATTTTATCAATTTTGTTTAAAATTACTTTAATAAAAAATTATTATCATAATTTTATACATATGTAAGTATATAAATCATTTAAGGATATATTCAATAGAAATACTATTACAATTATCATTTTGCATATACAGTATAAAACAAATTAGATATATATTTAATATATCAATTATTTAAGCACAATTATCATGTACTTCAAAATAATTTGTAAAGTTAATTATTATAAATGAAAATATTGCACCACTTGCAGATGCTATTTGCATAATTGCACCTACATTAAAAAGTATATTGGAAAGCACTGTATTTCTAAATACTGATATAATAATTAATTTTAAATAAGAAATAAATCCCATTAAGAGTGCCCATGATATTATAACTAAAAAAATGCCAAGTTTTGTTGCTTGTAAAGGTGGTGATGGAGATATTGCCAAATATGTAACATAACTTCCAATAAGTAAACATATTATAGATAAGTAATTAATAATTTTTATACTTGAAATTTTAAACCAAAATGCTAATAAACACATAAATGGATTTGCAACTTGAGCACATATAATTGACAATTTATATGCTATATTTCCATAAGATAAACAGGAATAAGATTGTATGCTTGGAAAGAAACCATGGCTCAAAAAACAAAAAATAGCAAGTAATATAAATAAATAATTTCGTGTTTGTTTAGTTAAATATTTATTATTATTTACTAAATAATGTTTCATTTTTTGTATATTATTAGTACAATGATCATGAGAATCATATACTTGTTTTTCACTGAATACTATATTAATAGAATTATGAATTTGTTTTATGCTTTGAAAAACTGAAGAATATTCTAAAATAGCAAAAGCAACTAAAGATAAAAATAAAATGATAAAAATAAATAGAAAATATTCACTTGGAGAAAATTTTGAAACAAAAGATTCTAATGATTCTACATTAGTATTATTTTTAAGAATTGTATATTTTGAAGTATATCCGATTCCTTGTATCAGAGCAATAATATTTGGCAATACATCACTTAATCCTTCTCCTATAAAATACGATGTTAAAAATTTTATATTAAAATTATGAAGATATGGCATAAATAATATAGAACTAAAACAACCTACTAAAGCATTGAAAAATGTTAAAACAAATAATAGCAAACTGTATTCATTATCAGCAATAATAGTTTTCTCAGAATAAAAGAAACTTAAAAATCCCATTGCCAAAGTTCCTAACACCAACAAACACATTATCCACCAAGGTTCATTTATCTTACATTTGAAGTACATTTGCAAGATTATATATAATAATGGACCAAAATTTGCAGTTTGAGTTATTAATACTAAATAAATTGGTAATGACCAACCTTCAGGAGATGTATTAATAAGTACTGATGTTTGAATAAATATTCCATTAATACCAATACAAGAAGATATGCCAAATAATATTATAAGAAAATGCACAATAATATAAGTTTTTTCATTGCATATTTCTTTATCTTGTGTAATATGAATCATTCTGCATTTATATAAAAAATTAAATTTTTATATATCCCTGAATAATAATTAATAAAAAAATAATCTTAAATAGTTTTTTATATTTATATAATTATTTTTTATTAATTGATTTCTCACCAAATTATTTTATTAATTTCCTAAATATCACAATTGAAAAAAATTATTTCATTTATTTAAAATTTGTAAAATTATTTAAAAAACAAGATAACTGATTAAAATTCTATATTATAGAATGCACTTAAACCAGAGAAACTGATATGATAAAATCATGAGATGTCTGACTTTTCTTTAATCCGAACAATAAAATTTATCAGATAAAATATAAAGTTTGAATAATCATTTTGAATTGACATAATGATAATTAAATTTTATATTAAGAACGTTTTAATATTCTAATATATTAAACTCAAAAGTCATAAAATAAATGATAAAATTGAACTTTGTAATAAAATTAATCATTACAATATTGTAACATCTTTTCAGATGAAAGATATTTTTGATATAAAAATTATTCAAAACATTTATTATGCAATAAATTATATTATAATTGCATCTTTTAAATTTAAAATTTCGAAAGAAAATTATTTATCTACTTATATGCAAACAAATTTTGTTTAAATATATATAAAATATATAGGACTACTTTTTTAACTATATTCATGTCTTATATATCTATTTGAATTAAATTCATATTGAAATAAAAATATATTATACTTCTTTATTTTCAATTATTAAAAATATTTATAGCTTTCTTAAAATTTTATAAGCAAATTGGAATTTCGATTGATTTTAATATTGATATTATAAAATATAGATGATTCTATTTTTATGTTGACTTATGTATGTAACTATATACTGTTAATTCGATGTTCTAGATTTATAATATTTAAAAATAGTTAGACCCTGCTCTTTCATATTTAATAATGATAAATAATAGAAGCTAAGAGATATATTTCATCTTTTTAGTTCATTTTATACAATTTTTACTAATAAAATTATTAAATATAAATGTCATATTAAACGTCAATTTGCTGCAACTAATAAACATGGTGAATAAGAATGAAATAGTTTTGCATGATTAACTAAAACAAATGTAATTATTGCTCCTATCAATGATCCAATTTGAGTTGCAACACCAGTATAATATAAACCTCTGCCAGGATCAGGCCTAAATAATGTTGTAATACCCAATTTTATAAATCCTATCAAACCACTAATTAATATCCAAGATAAAACTACCAAAAATTCACCTAACCAGGTATTTTGCAAAGGTGGTGTAGGTGATTCAACAGCTAGATAACAAACAAAACTAGAAAGTGCTACAACTATAACCATGAGACCAGAAAGGAAATTGACTTCTGGCATTTTTATGACAAAACCTAGACACATTGCCAATGGACCAGCCATTGATGATAATGTAACAGTTAAATGATATGCAACATTTCCATATGGTAAACAAGAATATGATTGAATACTTGGTAATGTACCATTACCTAAGAAACAAACCATTCCCATCATAATTAATAAATATGAATACACTTGCTTAGACATTGCCCAACCGGAATTTGTTTTATAACTGGGAGGAGCTCGTGTATCTGTTGGTAATGTTTCCATATTTGCTGAATGTTTCACACGCTCTCCAACAGCAATAGATAAATTGTTCAATCCCAAAAATGCCAAGAAACATAAAAACAATAAAGTACCAATAAAAATAAAAAAAGTCTGACTTGAAAATCTAGGTTCTGGATAATAAGGTATTAATTCTACATTAGATCCAGATTTAGTATTATTTAAACATTCAGGATTTCCACCAACACCTTGGATTAATGCCACTAAGCTTGGCACAAATCCGCTGAGTCCTTCTCCTACAAGATAGGACACTAAATAAATCTCTCTATAGTTCCTCATGTATGGCATAAATAGTACTGAACTCGTACATCCAACAATAGCAGTTACAAACATTAATGATAATAGTGCAGTGGAATGCTTATTGCCAAATATTACAGTAGTTTTATCATATAAAAAAGCTAATATAAATGTAGATATTGCTCCTGCTGCTAAAAGGACATATGTAATGTATTTGTCACATGCCCATTTATTATATCTAAAACAAAAAAAAATACTTGAATATATTTGATAAAAAATGTTTCATAAATTATTATGAATTAAAAATATATTTATGAAATATATTATGAATTATTAAAATATATTTTTAATATACATACTTTATGTATAATGTATAAAGTATTGGTCCTAAATTGGCAAATTGTACTAACATAACCATATGTGCTGGAAGACTCCATCCTTCTGGAGCTTCGTTCACAAGAAGTGGTAATTGAACATAAATACCATTCACACCAATCCATGCACCAAGACCAAACATTAGTGCAAGTAGGTCAACTAATAATCTTCTATTACTTAACTTTTGGCTCAACATATTTTGTCTTTTGTTATTCATCAACAGTGGGTCTAAATAGGTCAAATGACCTTGCTGATGAATCCTTTCCTCTTCAGTCGCCGTTTTTTAGCTTTCTTTTTGCAGAAAATAGTTGAATTTTATAATCGGTGATATATGTATACAATATAACGAATAAAACTTATTTTTCGTTACATTCAAAGTTTTAAAATTGAAAAATATAATCTCTAAGAAGATCTTGCTAAATAATTAATATTATTTGAAATAATATAGTAATTATTAACAAATTATAAAATCAATTTATTCAATGTATCAGCAACTTTAATGATTATTCAATACCATTTTAATGTTGCAATAATCGTTGTTGAAATCTGTTCTTTTTTTTTACATAAATATTTTCCACTATCACTTTTCACTTGTAAAATTTTTATTTTATTAATAATCATTTAATAAATTTCTAAAATTAATTTTTTAACACTTTTTCAAAACAGTTTTCTTTTTTCTTTTTCTTGTGGAAAACATAACCTTAAATCACAAATAAACGTTACAGCTACGATGAACTAACTAATATTTGCTGATGCGCATGTATATGCGATTGCGTATATTAAATTCTTAGAAAAAATAATATAGTTTTGTATTATAACATGATAGAATTATGATAACCAATGTCTAACACCATACGAACCGATATAGGCGACAGTTGCAATTCGACTGTCGGTTGTTCGGTCTTTCATGACTCGTGACTTGTAATGATTAGGTCAAATTTGCTTTATATACATTGTTCATTTTTATTATCAATATCTATTAGTATTGTTAAATACACATATTTGCAATTTAATAATGGTATGAATCTTGATTTCTTCTGAATTAAAATATTTTCTTATTGAATTTGATAATTTAATAATTAATAAATAATTAAAATTTTTCTAAATTATCTCATTTTTGTGCAATAATAATAAAAGTTATTTTTTTAAACAAAATTACACTTTTTATATTTTCCCTCAAGCTATGCAATTTTGTACTATTTCATGATTCTTAGATCAGTTACTATAATCATTTGTATTTGTGTTTCGAACTTGTCACTTTATAATAGCGTTTCGTATATCATGATCGATGTATTCAGTGGAGTAAAACATATTAGTCCGAATAGCTTGATTGATATCTCTTGTGTCCATATCACATTACTATTGCAAGGATTGATGTACATTTTAAATCTAATATACTACGTAGCGATAGATATTAATAAATGGGTAAAGTATAATTAAATTTAAGTTTTTTAAAATAAAAAAGAAATGAATAAAGATATAGCTGTACATTTTTTTTACATGTAATATTATAAGAACTGTTCATAAATTATAAACGGAGAGGTAATGAAATAAATATCACCATCAATTGAATATAGCAAGAACTTTATAAAAGACGAGGCAGACTCACAGATGGTTTAAGTATATTAGTATATGTCTCAAAACTCTGAGAAACGTATGACGGTTTTGTATTCGCATTTTTTTTATTCTTTTTTTTTGTTTTTTTTTTCTTTCAAATAGATCACACATGAAAAAAAGTTGTTGCATAAAGAGATGTGTTTATATCGTGCGTAAAAAGTACGTACACCAATCGAAAAAGAGTTATTAGTCAAGGATAGAAGCTGAAAAAGGAAACGCTCGACTAGATTTGATAAACTCCCTCTTATTATCTTAGGTTACGAATTGTCGAAATTAACATGTTTCTCTTCTTATCTAACCTTAACGACCAAAACTCATTGACATTATCGTAAAAAATACATACATGTTCATGGTCGTCGATCGTTTATAAATTATTTATTACTTATCGTTTGTCAGTTATTATCATATTTTAGAAAAATAATTGTTTATTTCTAATTATACAAGAGAAAGCATAACAATAAAATAGAGAGAATACTGGTAATATTGTAACGAAAGAGGGAGTTCTATTTCTTATTAAGAAAAAACGTGACTTTCGCTCCTATTGGAGGAGTACTGGGAAAAATGTACAACGAAGAAAATTATTTCGAGTAAAGTAATTTGTTTCATAAGCAATTGTAGTTTTGTAAACTAATGTGTGAATCATTTTTATCGCGAAAATGACAAGGAAATTGATATTATTTTATGATATCATTGTCCGTCAGCGCGATATGACGTGAATAGAACTTCAGAATAGAACTTCGATAGAATATCGAATGAAAAATCGATTTTCAAATCGTTTCGATTTTTATCATGATCTTCGATACTTATCGATTTTTGTTTAGTCAGGTTATGGAGCGTTGATATTTGTGAATAAATTTGACAGAATAAAATAAAAAGAAAAAAATTAATACGATTTTGAAAGATCTGAGAAATAAGGATGCGGTAAAAAAATATTTTTGAAATAAAATTAATGGATTAAGAAATAAGAAAATAAAAAGAGAACAAAAAAGAGCAAGAATAGTGTGACATCTAAATAAAAATAAAAAAAAAATGATGCAAAATGCATATTCATTTAATTTTCAAATAGTTACCAAATTCCATAAATCTTGTAAATTTTCTAGAATTTTTAACGATAAATATGCATTATCGATTATACTCTTCATTTCATATCTCGTTTTTAAGGAAAACCGATAACCTAGAAACAGGTACAATATTAACGTCCTTCCTCTCCTCTGTATCCCAACGAACTCTTTTGAAAAGAGTTACAGACGCGGAATATCGATAGACAAAAATTAATTATGCGACGCTGGAGTGAGGAAGAGCAATATCGGATGGAATTCACGGAACGAACGGGTGAGAGGCCGATGTCCGATATTTACATAGCTCGAATAAAAGTTCGGGGTACCTTCCTTTTATTCGTCCTTTTCATCACTTAGAACTTTTCAACTCCTTTATAACTCTCAATTTCGTTTAAATATTCAAAGTAATATATAATCCAAAAAATATTTCTACAGAAAATAGAAGCGAATTTTTCGAATTCATCAATTCATCAATGGATCGTTCACTATCGCATATTGATTTCCAAAGGTCAATTGACACATGATGACGCAAAAGAATCGGAAACTAAAGAATAAAACAATCTTATTCCGAAGAAAGAGGCTACGAACTGATGGAAAAGAAAATATGATGGTAAGAGATGGAATCAAGAATCAAGACGAAGAGAGAGAGAGAGAAAGAGAAGAATGAAGCTCCTTGACCCGACTGATACGCTCAACTGATTTGATAAATTCCAAGCATTTCTGCCATTCTATAGCATATAGTTATAAGTGTAAATATGTATTCCGCTTGGTGTTCTACGTTTCTTAGCGATGATACCCGCACCCGGCCTTCGCGAGAATGAGTTTAATTGACTGATATGCCGAGCCGAATCGCGGGCGGCTTTGAAGCGTGTATGAAAGTTCGTTAATATCGACGATATGTGGGAGATAAGACGGGTTGGTTTGATAATTTATTATTATTACGATATATTTCAAATCTCAAAATCCAATCAATTCTTATTCGCTTTATATATATTATTTAAATTTTGTATTATTATTTATACGTAATAATCTAGCTTTTTAATGCGATCAAATGAATTGGACTTTTGGAACGACACGTAGTGAATTCTAGATTTCTAGATTATTATAAGAAACAAAAGTAACACAAGATCTAGCGTGTGAATAAACGTAACTGTAGAATGTTTCGGAATATCAGATGTCCAGGCTTTTGAAAATTGAATACCACTTGAACTGGCTGAAATGCTTGCGCTATTGTTATCCCAGATATCCAAAACATTCAGATATTAGATACCTTACGTATCCCGAATATTGAATAGAGAATATTTCATGATTTCGAGATATTCGAATTCCGTTTCTTTTAAGGTATGTACGACGATATCTGTACAGTATGATTACTAATCATTTAGTTTATCATATTTCTTATGATAGTAGAAATATTATTGATTGAACGTTAATAAAATTCTCCCAGGTATCGTGTGACATTTATCCGGAGCATTAACCAGAACGCGCCAAAGCGGAAATCGCTGGTTTATCGCGCTGACAGACGCGGGGATTTAATCGTTCGATCGGATTAGATGCGATTGTCAGAGCTACTGTCACGCCTGTCGCAAGCGTTTCGATAGAAAATTGAAAACCGTGGAACAGGAGAGTTTAGACTGGCAAGGAGGGACATTACGGGGGATTCCTGTAAACGGTTCCGTTTCTTTAATACATTGTTCGCTTTTGTGCGGACGCAAACGTTGCGATCGATAAAATCTGACAAATTACACAACAATACAATGACATTAGATACGATCGGTCTCTTGTCGCCGATAAAAAAAACTCCTCCAACTTGGTCTGTTTTGCCCGAAACGAGTCGCGATCGTTTCGATTTTTGCAGCGGTTTTTCCACTTCTTTTTTTTCCTCTTCTTTTTTTTTTTTTTTTTTAATGCTTTTATGTATTTTTTAGTTAACCAAGTTCGAGGATTGTTGGCCGTTAGGCGGGAGATTTGACAAGCTTCGAGGACGCATCCACGTCGACGATTCCCGCCGGTGGTCCTAGTAATATACACTTGACTGTATATTGGATAAGAAAACTTTGAATCGAGGATATTGAACGAGAGGCGCGTGCGTTGCACGAGAGACTGCTTCTCCTATTTTTTTTTTCGTTTCTATTACGTTTATAGAAATGTGTTACACATGTATATTATGATGATCCTCGGCCTTCAATAAGCATAGGGAAATCGTCGAAGATCGCAAGATCGTATTTTTTTTCATCGTTTCGTTAATCTCTTTTTTTCTTTCTTCCTTTTTCTTTTTTAATCTGACACGTTCAAAGTTTTCTCCAATTTTTTTTTTTTCTGCTAACTCGAACATTCTTTATTGCAGATTCTTCGTCGTTATTCGTGAAATAACGAAGAAAAGGAGGAAGTACGGATGAACGTAATCGTGACATCTTTACGAATTTGAGTTGAGCCGCCATATTAAAATGGAAATAAGATTTCGTGGGAATCTCAGCCGTCTGGAATTGAGTAAATTTTCGCTGACTCGAAAAAGGCAAGCACTTTTTTTTTTACAGTGGCTACATGATTCACAAAACGTAATGAAGGTAATTATTGGCCAAATGAGTTTATTTATTGCTTTTATCTTCATATCGCGTGTTTTCTTATCGTTTAAGCCTGAAAGCTATGAAAAAGGAGACAGAATGTTGTTAGCGAGGATAAATAGAACGCAATTTTTCCGCGATTCCGACGAGCGAAAATTATACTGGAAATTAGAGCACACGATACGGTAGATACATTATCAGAAATTATAACACGTATTACAGTTAAATCCAAAAAGAAGCCGGGGAATATGGGTGCAGTTAAGAGAGATACGATAATGCGAATTACATGACGAAGATTAAGCGAGATTTATAGCGAATTTAGCAACCAGATATCGCCGAGTTAATAACTCTAATTGGAGAATATAATGATGTTTTGAACGTTGGAACGAAACGATGATGCTCGATCGTGCGATTCGCTTGAAATCCTTCTCCGCTTCGCGCATACTATAGGCACAACTCTTTTTCTTATTCAATTTTCATTCTCTTAAATCATCAACAGTTTAGTACAGTTATAATATGTACAAAGTATACAGATCTCCGCTACTTCAGAGGAGGGACACAACTTTCGAACTGCGATGTATCGTTTTTTTTTCTCTCTCGAATGAATTGGTGCTTCCGGTTAAAAGCACCGGTTCGAATTTCGCGGATCTTGCCATTGCTTACGCTAAAATTGTCTCGAACGACTCTATCGTAGTGGGAATAAAAGAATAATCTTTGATCTGTAATTTTAAAATTTTTCTTTTAAAAATTATCTCATAGAAATAACTTATATTTTCCAGAGTCTATCTTTATCAAGAGCAGAGTCGAGGATAGAACGAAATAAGAGATGTTAACGACATGAAAAATCGAAGTCGTGAGCATGAAAGGAAAGTTGCAAGCTTTGGAGGAACGATATCAGGTTTCTCATCGGTGCTTTTAATCAGGTATTGGGACGAGTTTCGTGTGTACAAGTAAACCCGATTCAACCACGGGCACACGTGCGCGGTACACGACGGTTCATGGTGGACTGTAATATCTAATGTGTGAACTAACTGGTGTATCGATCGTCTTGCTACTGACGCGATGCATGCTGATGCAAGACGTAACGTAAACACATGTGTTTCAGTATATAGATATCGGTTATTTGAAACTATAATTACACGAGGAAAGAACAGGATACGAAGCTTTCAAATGGGACATCATATCGGCATCAAGATGGAAAAGATAAGGAGAAACAGTTTCACGAATCGGTTGTAGAATTCTCACCGTCTCGAAGAAAATCAATATGAAAGTAGATACGCTGCCAGGATGTAGATACCGGTTGGTTGAATTGTGCATCTTTTCTTGTACTCTACACACAGATACATACTTTGAACCGGAGTGGAAGATGAAAAGTACCGATTTGTGTGAACTACTTTAAATGGTGGGGAAGAGAGAATACAAGAAAGGAAAGTTTGCACGAAGAGATATTTATGAGTTTGTATGACCAGCTTTGTCCAGTATCTGTTTTTGCCTAAAGAAGTATTGAAAAGTTGGGACATACCCCGTTTCAGCAGTTCCACGAAACGGTGGAGAGTTAGCTTAGATTCTTTGAGAATGAGGATAACACGAAGATAACAAGAAGGAGTCAATTTTAAAGATAAAAAAATCTGAAGAAATTGAAAAAGGATAAATTGGATAAGGAAATTTTTAAATTTAAAAAGATTCTCGACTGTCGTCCCATTTGAAAATTGTTGCAAAAAAGGCAAAAGAAAGATTGATGGAAAATGGCGGATGATATGAAAGGCGTAGGAAAAATAGACGATAAGCGCGGGATGCAAAAATTGAAAAGTGCAATATCGTCGAAGACCTCGCACGTATGACGCTATATTGGTACAGGTACAGTAGAACGTGGCCAAAATGGTTGGAGAAACAAGTGTGTATTTTCGACGAGCAATAAACTGGATATTTCTTCGATCTATAAGTGCCACACGCGGCACGATGTTCGTGATTCTATCACTCTGAACGAATTTCTTCATTAACTTCTCCCTGGTACAAATTACACAATTTATCGTTATCTAAAACGCGTATTAATAATTTTTAGATAGTAAATTTATCGATAAAACGGCGATTAATAAGTATTTAATTTTTAGAAAAAGAAATAATGATGTATAAACATGATTCGGAATGATCGAATTGATCGACGTATAATATAAACATTCAACATATATGTATATTAGAATGAGTAATTAACGGAAAAAATTAATAAATTTTTCGTACAATGATAAATTAGTTCAATAAGTCAAAAATTTGGATCGTTCGCATTGTTCTTTTTTACCCTGATCTCTTTTGGCCTTTTTTATTTAAAAAAAAGTCGAGTACGAACATTAATGCCCGTGTGTATGTGTGTGTATATCTGTATATTTATGAATGCATATGTTTATGATGTACCACGTTGATTGCTCTGTAACGAGAGCATCTTTCGTTCATTCCTACTTTCGGTTTATGTAACATCGACTGCACTCTAAAGTATTATTATTAATATTATTATTAATTTTTTTTTTATTTGCATTCGTTTTAGGTGTAAGTATTCTACCGTAATAAGTATGTTGTTACGACTCGGCGACTACACCGCGCACGGATTCTTTATTATCAAAGAAGTCATAGACGATAGGTGAAAAAAGTCTTTAGAGGAAAATAGGTATTTTTTTTGTTTTTTGTTTTCTCTTAATAAATTGACAAAGTAGTAGATAGAATCGTATTCTTGTACGTGTATAATAGAATTCGTGATCGAGGGGGATTTCGTTCTTTTTTTTTTTTTTTTTTTTTAATTCCTCTTTCGATTCCCTCTCTTGATCGATTTCTATCAAGAGTGTATGCGTGTTATGTATACGTATGTGAAATTTTTCCAGCGTTCGAATCGTGTTAACGCGAAATCCTTTCTGGTTCCTTCTCACGATTCTCCACAAGACAGCTCCAATAAGTTGGTTCCATTCGGCCGAATTTTTCTTCGTCAGAGCTGCTTTGTCGTCGAGAACTTCGAATCGAACATTCACCCTCTTCGTTTTTGCTCTTTTCTCTTTCAAATTGGACTCCGTTTGAGGAAAAAAAAAAATGGACGAAAAATGGTCAATCCGGTCGGTCCAATCCGGTGCGAGTATTACCTTCCGAGCCCGCAACTTGCACCGCATCATCTTTCTCTCGTCGCCTCATCCATCTGTCATATATTGTCGAGTTGATCGTTAAATCTGGTCACGAGCTTGTATAGCGGCCACCAGGAAAAAAAGAAATTCTTTCCATTATCCTCTCCTTCACAACTTTTTGAAAGAGACGACTCGTGCAATCCAACGATTCTCTATACATATAAATTCCTTCTTTATTTATTTCCTCTAAATAAGATTAACACCTTATTCATCCTTTCCTCGAAACAAACGGGTCTCCTATTACAGCGGTAAACACGAGGAATATGCGAAACTAGCGACCTCTCTCGGCCACCGTCCAAATCATATACTCTTCGTTTCCCCCTCTCAGCAGCAATTTATTTCCCCCGTGCCTGCGTCTCGAACGTGTTCCTCGAACACGTGTTCACAGCACGTCGCCAAACGAACGATCGCCAATTTGTATCCCGATATATCGTGATCCCGAAACGTGTCGTGTAAAACGTACCAGTCCACTGGTCCGCGAGAACGCGCTTAAGCTTCTTCAAAGTGGCTCTCCCCGCCTGGTGGCCATCTTGGCAGCCCTGGAAGCCAAAGCGCCCAATGAGCACACGAGACCCGTCAGTGTCTCCCAGAAAGTGGTCCTACGTCTTTTGTGCACTGCCTGACCGACGTACCCCAAATAGTAGCCGGTGTAACGATCGTTTCCACGATCCGAGCCGCTGTCCGATCTGCCTACGCTGGATCGCGCCGACTTCGGTTGCTGCACGATACTCGGACGTTGTTGTTGATGATCCACCGTTTGATCGACGATACTCTGACACGGTGAACCGTCGCCGTATCGTTGCTGATAGCCCGATTCCGATTCGTACAGCCGTTGTTGGAGCTGCACGTTACTCAATCGTCGATCCATCATCCGGACAAGGTTCTGGTGGACACGACGATCATCCTCGTGCACGATTGGCAATTGTCGCCGGCATGTGGTCGCGGTTGGCAGCTCGTTTGATTGGATCTGTTGTTGTTGTTGTTGTTCCACTTGTCAGGCGTATTCGGTGTCTGTCGACGCGGATCTCTCCAGATGGGCTTGATGGCCTCCGTGGTGCTGTTGATTCTGATGTTGTTGCTGCTGTTGCTGTTGCTGCGCCTGCGTATAGGCGAGGCTCTTCTGATAGCTGAACAATTGCCTCTCCAGGCTGTAATTCTCCGCCTGGAGGAGGGAGATCTCCCGTCTCATTTGTTGATTGTGGATGCGGCACACGTCGTCGTACTTGTGATAGGTCGCTTGGAAGAGCAAATGGCTCTCGTTCCACTCGAGCCGGATCCTCAATTGTCCTTTGTCGGTCAGGAACGGACAGTGATTTTCTTTCACCTCGTTCGTGTCCAGATTCGTCTCCATTATGATACCTTCGTCCGCGGACTCTTGGGCGTAGTAACGGCTGAACGGGGCCCCTGGTAAACTGATCGCGGTCATGTTCGCCTCCTCGTCGCGAAGAAGATAGGCTGACCAACTGACGTACCTGAACAATCAACACAATTAACACAATCCCATATGTTTTCGAGAATATTTTGAAGAAACATTACTTAAACGAGGATTCGAGCGAGGTTTTCTAAATTATTTCTCAAGAAAAGAGATATACGTAGTTGATAAAATAAATAAATAACTCGGATGGAAATATACTCGTGGAATTATATGTATATCTTTATCTTTCTCGAAGCCAAGAAAGCAGGTTATATTTAAACTAAATTGGATTAAATCGTAGATTGATAAAATTTTATCGGGAATTGCTATATTTATCTTTCTTGACCGCAAGAAGAAAGTCAGTCTCCTCACACTTTACTTTTTTCTGCGAGCGATCCAATCCTCGATTTTAACCTCTCTCGCGAAACATTCCCCGCAACTTTTCCTCTTTTTCTTTTCTTTCACCAACCTCAAATGATTCCTCGGAACGTTGTGGATATCTTTGTAGACGAGGTGCAGCCTGACGGTGTCCGAGTGCAAGTCGGCCCTGATCATCCACGCCTGCTTGTCACGATCGTAGCAGGGGGTCGCGGGGAGGACGGAGGGGCCGCGAGCTTGCACCGCGACCTCGCAAATTGTCCTCGCCTCGACCATCTCGAGGGAAACCCTGACCACGCCTTTGTGGGCCACCTCGGACCACCTCACCCTGGTGTGCCACCCGAACCCGCAACGCTCCGCGTCGGACAGGTCCTCGATCTGGCCCGAATCGATCCTGCGATCGCCCTCGCCCAACGCCACGCTGTATCTAACCCTGCACCGATGATCGAACCCGCTCATCCTCATCAGGTAAACGCTGATCCCGTTCTCGTGGCCCCTCGTGTAACCCTCCAACTCCTTGTTCCCGTGGGGATATATGACCAGGTTCCAATCGAAGCCGCCGAACGCGAAATAATCGGTCTCCAATTTGTTCGGCTTCGATTGGCCCGACGAGAATGTGCCGCCCGGCATCTTAAGGTCGGTCATGTACACGGTCCTCACGTTGGCCATCGACAATTCCAATTGGAACTCGCCGTTCGTGTCGGCGAAGTTTCGGCTGTACAGGTCCGAGACCGGGATGTAGTTCCGGTTGCCCTGGGCGGGCGCCTCGTACGTGAACTTGACCCGTTTCCCGGAGAATCCCTCGTTCATGGAGAAGTGTTCCCGGTTCAGAAGGGTGAACGTGAAGTCCACGTAGACGCGCAGGTTCCTCGACGCACCGCGCCACACCAGGTACGCGCCTAGAACCTAGATCAGGTGTATTTTTTTTTTTATTCTCTCGATCGTTTCGTTCGCGTGAGAAGAAGATATTATTTTTTTTCGTTGTAATAAGAGAGTAATAAGAGATTTTTAAGAAGGTATTTTTTTTTTTTTTTTAATAGTGGAGCTTTATTTTCCTGTTCGTCTCTCCGGGGAATTTTATTTCCAATTTGGTGCTGTTGCGCCTTTCGATGATTATTAATGATTGCTTTATTAATTTACGATATTAATAAAGCTTATCCAATTATCGCGTTAATCGCGGCATATTTTGGAAAACACGTCACTCGACGCGGAAACCGATCGATTTCTCCTTTGGATTGAATTCATAAGCTTCGTCATTACCGATTGATTTTTCAATACGACGGTGCGTCCATTTGAATTCTGTCTGCTTGGTCGAGCAAATTATTTATCGATGATCGAGAACGAATGATGGATGAACTATTTTCCATCTAATCCGATTGAATCGTAATTTTGTTTTTTTCACGATTAATTTCGGGTTAATTATAAGATGGAGAGCGAACGATTTATGATAAAATTACGAATCGAAAATTTTCTGAATCGATAAAGATAAAAATTTCATATTTTTTAATTATCTTTTAAGCGATCGAGATCTTTTCCGCGTTATCAAAAAAAAAAAAGGAAATTAGATTATCGGACATTCCATCCATGAAGAGACATTGTGCGTGTGAATTTTATGCATGTGAATAAATACTCCATCGTTCGAGCGATTTAACGTGATTCGAATGGATTATGAATTCCTGGCACGAGTGAGGAAAGAGAGAGAGAGAGAGAGAGAGAGAGAGAGAGAGAGAGAGAGAGAGAGAGAGAGAGAGAGAGAGAAGTAAGTAGTACGTACGTACGTACTACTACGTAACGTAA